TAAGACTAACGAATATTTAATGCACCGAAACGACAATACTTTCCGATCCTCCTAATATTTTGACTTCATTTTTAACAAAAGATTTAAAAAAGCATCTATCAAGAACGGTAATAAAAAAACATTCAGAAAAGTTTTTCATCTCAGCTTTTAAAATATCTCATAACACTTTTACTCACTGAGAAAAAAACATAGCAGGTAATATAAAACTTTATTTACTAGAATTGTACTTAGCAAAACTCAGTCTGATACCTGAAATTTGTTGAGCTAAATACATCCTAACCTCTCGATGCTTCCTTATAGGACATAAACTCATTATTTAACGTGTTGTTTTAAAATTGCGTTTTGTTCCTTATAGTAAGGAACATAAAAATATTTTTCATCAAAACACTGCTAACAAGAGATTGAATTCAGTCTACTGAATGAGATAATTTAAGATATCAAATTTACACGTTAAATGAATTAGGGCATCGTATAGAGTTTAGCTATTAATTACGATACGATAATTGTTGAAATATGTTCCATGTTGCATCAATCTTATGTGTCGTGACACAACTTTAGTTTAATGACTGTGTTAGTTTGGAAGTTGTTTGTTAATGATCTTTATCAAATTAATATTTCCCACTTTTATTTATTCTTCTATATATATGAGCCGAAAGTTTTTCACATTGCTTAATATTTTACGGTGAAATAAACAGTAACTTTCTTGCATAAGAAGTTTATGAAAAATATAGTTTCTCAAAAATGAAAAAATTATAAAGTTTTAGGAAATCACTAAGAAAGTTTTAATAGGGAGAAAATTATTCTGGTAAAATTACCGAACTGTATGGTAATGGCAGTAATTGCATTTCTGGTTAAAGAAAAAAAAACATAATTCTGGTAAATAAAACCAATAAAACGGTATTTAAACCATTCGTTTGGTAATTTTTCCGTTCATATGTTAACGGTATACCTGAAATTTTGGTTTTCAAAATTATAGTTCTTATTACGCAAATTTAGTAAAAAATCGAAAACTGAAAAACAAATCTAACCGGTTTAAATGGTTTTTGCGCCATGCTCTAAGGTATCTTAATAAAATTACCAAATTTAACTACATTTTCCAAATTTTATCATGGATTATGAAATCATATATTGTTGTTAATTTTAACAAATTCATTACCAAAGAGCTTCAGTAAAGATTAAAGAGCACTTTAGTGTTCCCATATAGCCAGAAACACGGTAAATTTTGTCATATTCTGGTAGTTTTCTCCGTATATGTATGTAATGTAATCGATAGCAAATGATTATTTTGCGTTTTAGTAGCAAGTCGAAAGTTATAATTAAGAGAGAATTAATAGTAAAATTATGATTTTTGGTTCAATTTTAAATTTTTTAAAACCTACTGTTGTATCTCTATACCATGTTGTGTATCTTAAATCATATTTTTTGTTCATAATATCACACATTTTTTAAGATTGGGATAGGGAACCCTCAATCTAATGGTAGAACAAATTAAGAAAACCTAGCACCCTATATATTAGTTAAGAGAATTATTAAAAGATCAACTTTCTCAATAACAATATATTTATTTTTTACAATATAAATAAGTTTTGAAGAATGTTTGGTAGCAACATAATATTTAGATCTTCATTTAATCTAACCTGACAACACTGCAATTTCGTACAACTGTGTGTGCATTTGGTTAAGAATATCCGAGCTATTTTTATTTTAAATTGAATATAAAAATATTTCTACCGACAAAAAATTTAAAAAAAAATTCTTATTGTACTTTTTGAAGAAAAACTCTGCTGAAACATCACAAATTCGTAACAAATATTGTTTGTAAGAAGGATTCATAAATACTGATTCTGATCTAGATGATTAAAAAACGTTCCGAGGAAACAATTTCTAACGCGGAATTGAAAGCTTTACTCGAACCAGGTTCCTTGTCAGCTAAAAAATAATTAGGAATTAGCGGCATTAAATGTTAGCCAATCAGGTGATCACAACATTTACATCTCTTCGAAAAATTCGTGAAGAGAGACTGAGTACTAAGACTAATGGTGTAAGTTATAAGTTTGGAAGGTTATAAGAAAACTTCGCATAGTTAGGTTTTCTTTTTAGTTCTATTCATTAGACGCCTTTTCCTTAGATTAATATTTGCGTCAATCCCATAAAAAATGCCATAGTTGTTTAAAAATAGTGAATTAATATCAGAACATATATTTTTTTTTTAAATGTCTCGGTGAACATAGCATATTTTGGGAATATGGTTTCTGCATATTAGAAAAATTTTAAAGATTTAAAAATATTGAAAATAACGAAAATATTAAAAATAAGAAAAATATTAAAAATAAGAAAAATATTAAAAATAAGAAAAATATTAGACCTAGATTACAGCTGTAACAATAGCTGTTTCAAAGACAATCAACTAAATTAGTTTCAATATGCATTTTGTAAAAAAGAAATATTGCTTTGTTAATTAAATTGATTGATTTTTATTTTATCTAGTAGTTTAACAAATCAATGTTAAATATTAACTGAAAAACACGAGGTATTAGAAGAATTTCGGAAGTAAATATTTTATAACTCTTATAAAAAGTTATGATTGTATGATATTATATGTAATAAATAATAAGAATTTTTCAGAAAAAAATTAAATTGAGAAAATGACTGAGAAATGACTTTTTCTGAATTTTATATTCTATAAAAAGGAATATGGAGAAAAATATGGAGAAAATATGGAGTGTCCAAATATGGAGAAAAAAATCTTAATAAATCATAAAATATACAACAAAAATTTATTTAATTTTTGTGAATAACCCTAATAAGTCTAATAAGTGATGTATTAGCAATCAACGCAAATTATTATTATGCACGGAAAAAACAATTCTTGTCAAATTTCCGTACTGTATGGTAATAATATTTCTGGTAAATGTTATTAATAACATTAATTCTGGTAATAAAAACCAAAATATGCGGTATTCAAATCATTCATTTGGCAATTTTTCCGCTCATATGGTAACGATTTATCGGGGATTCTGGTTTTCAAAATTATAGTTCTTATTACCACACAGTTAGTAAAGAATATAAAACAGAAAAATAAATTTATCCGAATAATTGGATTTTATGCCATATTCTGAAATATCATGATAAAATTACCAAATTTTAAAGCATTTTTAAAATTTTTATCACATATTATAAAACCATATTTTTTTAATTACATTACAAAAACATTACCAAATCTCCTAGGTAAGAAATATAAAATTTTTTGTTGTTCAAATTAAGGCAGAAATACGGTAAATTTTCACATATTCTTGTAGTTTTGATCATATTTTTTTTTTCGGTGCAGAAAGCTTAATATTGACATGTTCACAAAAGCTCTACAATTCTGTGTCCACACTAGTTCTGTTCAAACATTTGTCCACTTAAGATCATCAAGGTATCTTTGAATAAATTGGATAGAAAGAAACAATCGAATGGGGTGGAGCTTTTTAACTGTTTTGGTTTGAATGCTTATACTTGCTTCTTAAGTAAGGTGATCACCAAAGCAAGGAAAGAGGTTCAGCCGATTCTATTGGATAACAATCTATGCTTTGTGTGTGTTTGAAAAAGGGATAACCTTTTCGTATGCTTCAGAATGGGAATTTGCTTATATTTAGAGCAAAAATGAGGCCTTTATGAGGAAAATATTTACGTTTTGACTTTAAGTTTGGCAAAAGTTAACTTAGCTAAGGCACAAAATGAAAACACGACTAGTTGTCTATTACGAGTAAAGATTCAGTTTGAAAAAATCAAAAAGGTAAATTTAAGATTCAGATCTTCAAAATTTCAACCGCAATGAGATACTAGTTTGCAAAATTCAGCTGCTTTCCTTACTTAAAGTGTTATGAAACTAAGTCAGTTCAAATAAAGTTACGTTTATTCAAAATAAATAAATAAATAAAAAGAGGAAGTTTTCGTTTCTGATTTTGTTACTCAAAAGCTATAGCTATAACAGGAAAACCTTAGATGAACCATGCAGATCAGGGATAATGTTTTATAGTTGGTTTGAGCCAAATCATTGGGTAAAAAATTATCCACGTTTTCATGTTGTCTTCTATTCGTAATTGCATATACTTTGCATTAATTTTCTAAAACAAACATTTACACTAAGGGTTTTTAAAAACATTACTTTGTAAAAAGCTAATTTTACAAAAAGATCAAACACTAATTTTTTAAAAAAAAAAAATTATTAGCACTTATTCTTTGTAAAGGTTTGTAAGTGATCCTCCCCTCTTCTAACTTTGAAATTATATTTTTAAATTTTTGTTGAATATTTATTGTATACAATAATGCAATGAAACAATATGCTCGCAAAATATTTCAAAGCTCTTGCATCACCGGCTCCTTAAATCTTAAAAATTTCTTTTAAAAAGGGAAATTTCAAGCTCAATGTACAAAATCAAGATTTTACTTTTTTTTGTGAAGCTTACTGAATAAAAATAATTCGAAAATAATGGAAAATATAAACACGTTACTATTATAATTTAAAATTATACATGAAATCATTATTATGGCTAATTTCAAATGATAGCACGAATAATAAAGAAAATATCTTTCTTTTGACAAAAAATAAATACTTGAACTATTAATCTTTTTTCTTTCTTCGAGTGAAAACTCCGCTTACAAATCAAAACTAAAGAGAGATTTTTTTAAAAAGTTAAAGGTTTTTAAAGCTTTTTTTTTTAACATAGGTTACCAAACTAGAATATTTGGGCGCTTATTGTTCCCATCGTAATAAAATATTCTTATATATTCCTAAAAGTTGAAAGAGTTAATACTTCACATAGTTCATTGTTTAATTTTTGTAACTGAAACACTTGGAACCCGTGACCACGTATTTAATCTGCACTAACAGTTAAAGAATGAGACAAACGAAAAAATATATTTTTTGAGAAAGAGAGTTTCGAAAAATTGCGATTATTCGAACTGTAACAGTAGCTGAAAAGCGATATCATTATTAAAAAACACATGCATAGAAGGATCATGAATTGTAAACATTTATTCAACTAAAATACAATTTCTATCATAGTTGAAAGCATTTTGAGCTTAGAATGATAAGAGCCATAACAACGAGTGTAAAGTAATAAACATTTTACATATTATTTTGTTCTTCTTCTTCTTCCTCCCCCTCTTCTTCTTCTTCTTTAGTCATTTTTTTAAAGTTGTTTTTGCATTTTCTAGTAGGTTGTGGTAGTGGATAGAGTACATATGGTTTTTGAATTCCATTCCAATAGCCCTTCGAAATAAAGTAATAAAAATATTATCAATATAATTTTTTAATTAAAATAAATAAATAAATAATATATAACAGCGGTTTCCAACTGGCGGCCCGCCAAGCCTTTTTTTGTGAAATATATTAGTTGTCATTTTTTGCGGACAATTTTCTTAAAAAAGCTATATGGGTTTAAAATACTTTTCTTTCTTTAAAAAAAAACCTAATTTCTTCGTTTCTTTGAAATTTAACAAACCAAAGGGACAAAAAAAATTATTTCTCAGGTTTCGCATCCAAGAAAATATTTATTCAAGTACAAAAATAATCGTGTATGTTGCTTAAAAATCTACTTCTAATTTTAATTTGTAATTCAATACTTTTGTTTTGTACAACTTGATAAAAATCTGACAGTAATATTTAATGTTTCTTCAAACATAAAAGAGTCCTAGTTAAAATTTTGATAAAGTTGCGGCCCGCCATTTGACTGGTGTTTTTAATTGCGGACCACGGCCTCATGTAAGTTGAAAACTCCTGATATATAGAAATAATAAATAAATATAGAATATATAAGAAATAAATAAAACTAGTATAATATAAATATTGTAGGGTAAGAACAAAAAATTTGCTTACAAACATTGAATTTTTTTGTTATGAAATTCCTTGAAAAAGCAAGAAGTTTTATGTTAATTGAGTTTGTGCCTTTAATGTTAATAAGATTTTGCTTTATGCCTTTTTTTTAACATCTTGCGCTAGAATATGAAATTCTCTTTTTTAATAATATATATATTTTTAACTGATATTTTGTCAAAAATGTTTCATTTCAAAATAATTATACTCAGCATATTTTAATAAATTTATGAAGTCAAAAATATTTAATTTAAAAATTTACTTTTAAAAAGTATTACAAGATTACATAAGTAAAGTATTTATGGAACAAAAAAACCATTGAAACCCACTATTATTAAATTTGAGGTATATCAAGATGCTCAGATGCGAATGCTACTTTTTTATAACGCAGCTGTCATATTGCATACATTAATCTCTCAATTTATATTGGAAATAAATCAATTTTGTTAACTTTCAAAATTCTTAATATTCGCTAAAATTTTGGGCTCAATCCCCCAAACTACAGCATTTTCAAAAACTGGGATTTTTGCATCATTGTCCCCAATTGACGAAGACCTTTACTTTAGAATATAAGACAATGTAAAAATAATGAACAATAAGTCATAAAGTAAAAACAAATATACCTTTAACCTAAACGTTTCTCTTTTCATTTTAAAGAAATATTTCTTGAAAAGAAAAATATTCATTTAAACATTTATTTCTTCAATTTAATTCAGATTTTTTAAGATGTTGATAATTCTTACAACTCAATAATTAGATCAAAACATGCTTCTTTTAGTATAAAATATCCACTTATTTTCCTTTTAGAGATTTGCCAATATTTGTTAATGGAACCCATATAATATTTCCTGCAACGTTTTTTGTCCTTTTCTGAAACCATAAAATGAGACCTATTCAGTCTTCTAATAATGACATAAATGTGTTTCGAAATATTCGAGCAAAAAGATGGTCTTAAATAAGGTAATTACTGCATTATTTTATCCGTGTAAGTTTCGAGCTACCTATAAACGAAGAAATAACGTAATATGAGTAACTTAGAATAGTTACTTTGTTATTATTAAAAAAAGGCAGGAGCCAAAAGTATGAGAAATATAAGAAACTGAATAACGTTTTTTACATTATATTCAATTCAAATCGCTATTATCTATTTTTTTGCAATTCTCGTTATAATGTTAATAAATAATATTGCAATATAGGTTTAAATTAATTCATTTCAGTTTAAACTTTCTTGAAAGAGAAAAAAGTTAATTTACGAATGTACAGTAATTTTAAATCAATTTCTATGGATGAAAAAAAAAACTTTCTCGAAAGCAACTTTTTGGGGAACAGGATCATGACTATTTGGCAAAAAATAAAAATTTGATGACCAACGGAAATGCTTTAATACTATATTGCTGTTGACGTATGCCTGTTTTAGGCAGAGGGATGCGATTGTTCTTGTTTTCCAGTGGCGCCATTTATGACCAAGAATTCGACTTCTGCCACGCCCATACGTCACATCCGCTTATAGGTCGGACCCATTCATATATCCATTCATTCATCCACAGACCCTAATTTTGACCTGAATCAGAGAACGGTCGATCTCCAATCCAGTACCCCCAAAGGTTTTGATTTGTTATGGGAACATGGAGCACTTTGTGACTCGACAGATTTAGCGTGCACCAGTCACCAATTACGGGGAGTCTTCGGCCGGCGTGGTTCGAACCCACGAACTCTCGGACACTGGCCCAGCGCCCTACCGGCCAGGCTATCCCGGCTTTAATGCTATGTAATTTATGGTTTGGTACTTAAAAGGGAGGAGAGACTTAGGATGCCTTTCTCAGTTTTGAGAAATTAAATTTTTTAAATATTTTTTAAAGAAAATATTCTTTCAATATTTTTAGTTTTTTTACTCTTTTTCACGCCATTATAATTAATAAAATATTTATACTATTATTTTTAAATTACTAGTGACAACTGGGTCAACCCTCCCTCTTTTCAAGGAAGTTTTACTCGAAAGAAGGGAGAGGAATCTATTTAATATAAATGAAATAAAATGCCTTTTTAAAATGACATATAATGTACAGAATTAGCTATTGATTCTTCATTTTTCATACAATTCCAGATTCATGAATTGAAAAATAGACAAAAATTAAAATCAACAGCAGTTTTTATCCAAGTCTAATTTTAAACCCGATGTTGTCTATTGTTAAACCCAAAGCAGAAATTTATGAGGAATAAATTTATGTAAAGCTAGGATTTTCTTATATAAGTATCTGAAAACTGATAATTTAATCCTAAAAGTACTAATTAAATACTATTAATAATTTCCAAATAGGTAAAAAGAATAGTACTTTTTGTAAATGAATGTTTTTATGAAAGTGCTTTATAATCTGTCATAATAATAATAAAATAGTGTTACATACAGGGAATCTGTCTCCCGATGAGCGATTACATTGCATAGACAATGGAGCAAATGAGTACAGATGATGAAGAAACGCAGCATTTCCTTCACTCCAATGTATCGATTCATAGTTTTCTTCTACTGGTTTTGATTCAGAAGTCATTTCGTCGTTATATCTGTGTTAAAAAAAAGTAGACGAATGATCGAAATATAATTCATAAAGGAATATTTGGTTTTATAGTCAAACCCCGCTATAGTAAACTTTCAAGGGACAAAAATTTCGGTTCACTATAACCGGGAGTTCACTATATCCATACCGCAAACAATTTAAACTGATGGTTCTGAATTCTTCCCTTGTATTACACATTATTTAAATAAATGACCAATAAAATGAAATACAAAAATGACTATAAAACAATATATAGTAACAAAAAATGTGTTAAATTTTATTTTTATTACTCTTCGTCTTGCGTACAAAAAATTTAGGGATGATCTTTATTTAGGAATGAGAAATTGAGATAAATGAAGCAAACAAGAAAAAGTGCTAACGGCTACATCTCACTCGATAGATTGTTTTAAAAATCGGTATATGTATTATATGTAGAAATTTCAAAATTACCAGAAAATGAAGAATAAAAAATTTGAAGAAAAAGTCGAAGACTGAAAAAGTTCGTAATATCCAACGTCCACTCTTTTTTTGGTTCACTATATCCACAAAAAATAACATTATATGTGTATAGCAAGGCACGAGAGTGGACGTTTTGTTCACTATATCTGGGAGTTCACTATAGAACCGTGTTCACTATAGCGAGGTTTGACTGTACTAACTAATCCCGAATAAAACGTAACCAAGAGGAGCGAAGCATGGACAACTGAGAAAAGAAATATTTATATATACATTAATGTTTTCATAAGCATTGGCCAGCTTAACAAGATTGTGAGACCAACATTTGTGGGGGAAATGTTTTTAACTCTTGTTCGATTTTCTCCTTTAGTTCGGCGATGGATGTCGGGTTATCTGTGTAGGGTAAACTAACCAGTGAAGGAACACTTACGCTTCGCTTGCCTTTAAAAAAATCATATTAATTTCAAAATTCATAATTTTAGTTAAGTGACAGTGTTAACATATTTGTTACTAATTGTAAATTATGTAAAAACATTGTAGAGAACTTACATAATATTGTTTTAAAGTTTTGGAGGTTCAAATAACAAGTAGTAAGAAGACCAAGTGAAGGAACAGCTCTTACCAGTGAAGGAACACAAAATTTCCCAGTAAAGGAACACTTAATTTTGGTTATTTTTTAATGCTCTTTATGAATTTATAAGCCATACAAATATTTAAAAACAAGCCTATTCTTGAAATTATAACATATAAATACTTGGAAAATGTTAACTTTTTTTTGTAATCATGAATTGAAAATTAAAGTGTCAACATATTAACACATACTGTTCATTCACTGGGAAATCTATGCCCAGTAAAGGAACATGCCTGTTCCCTCACTGGTTAGAAGTTGTTTTCCGTATTTTTAACATATTTTTGATGCGGAACATCACTAAAGGTACAAGAAAATTAAAGTTTATCTTTTATTTTCATTAACTTAGAAAAAACCCAGTAAAGAAACACTTGTTCCTTCACTGGTTTTTCATCGTTTGGTGATCCAGTGAATAAACATCCCCTTATCTCAGTCCTTTATTATGCTATGATGCTTAAAAAAGTAAAATGCAACTTCAATAACTATATTTTCAATTCTCTTTTTCACAATGAGAAAAATAAAACTATTGCATGCAATTAATTCCACTTCAAACATATAAATACAAATACTCACCTTATAATTTTTTCAAGGAAAAAATGTGTTGCAGAGATAATAACAAATTCAAACATTTTTCCAGAGAAGTCTAATTGACCAGGTAATCCAAAACATTGCTGGATGACTTCCTATTGTTTGGCAGTAAGCTATTATTACCAATCAATCAAAAGAAAAATTTTCAAATTCTTATTTTTAATCAATATATATGAAATGTTCCTTCACTGGTTGGTTTACCCTACACAAATTTTTTTTAAAAATATTCTTATAGAAAATATTCTATAGGGCACAAGTCCACATTTACGGAGGCTACAGTTCTTTGGAAATCAAGTCGTCCTAAACAAAACTCTTTAAGGGAGGAGAAGGTTGACCCAAATATATGGGCACTGGCTCCATCCTGTTGCAATTACCATCTTCCTGCGGGTTCTAACAAATTGCATGACTATGTCCCGATTGCTGAACTGATTGTGCTGTCAAAGAACAACGGTACCATGATTTGTTTACGTGAATATCCTCGCTTTTCGTGGATTGCGTTTTATGTGGGACATACTATCCTAAATCGCTCATTTAAATAATCCATTCGGATAAGTATGTCCAACAAGTGACCTGTGGTTGTTGCCAACTTATTTACCCACTACAACTGATAAAAATAAAATTAAGATAAAATAATTATTAAATTACTTTGCATTATTTGTAATGCAACGAAATTTTAAAATTATAGTATTTAAATTACATGAAAATTTTAAAATATACAATTTAGAATAATAAAATCCGTTGTAAATGAGTAAAAAAACTAAAAACTAACAATTTAATGCACTTCTGAACCTAGGAATCTCATTGACAAAGTTTAGAATTATTCTTTTCTTCTTTTTTTTTCACTAAAAGCTGGACATTCTATTTTCTTATCATTGGAACCATTTGTATGATATTTGCTTTCAGAAAGAAAAACAACCAAAAGAATTGCATTTTTTAAAGCTGTCATTCAACTCTTTTTTCGAATTAATGATTAAATCTTGACAAAAACTATTAAAAAAATTAAATTTTTGAACTATTTTTAAAGCCCGTTTAATGAAATGGTTTTATGTTTTTCAGCATCTTTTAAAAAAATACTCAATTGTAAAGGAAAAGTAGTAAAAATCGCATTCTAATTAATCTTTAATGTGAGTGTCACAAAACAAAGATAAAACGGGAATTTATGCATTCATACCTTAATTGAATTTTTTAATTAAATGTAATAAATATTTATCACAATAATATAATTAAGCATAATTAAAATTCTAAAGTAAATAAAACCTCGTTAAAAATGCATTGTTACGCGATAAATAATCATTTATACATTTAAATAGTGACTCTAAATTAAGTATGTGAATAGATAGACTATTCAGTTGCGATAATGGTAAATAATGTCGAAGAAAAAACGGCTCCGACTAACCGTTATCTTTATCTTAAGAATGAAGGGTATCGTTATACAGCCGAAAATAAAATACAAAATATAAATATTACTTCTATTTTGTCTTCATTTCACCTTATCTCTAGGGAGAAATAGATTTGCACCTATTTTTAAAACTCGTTTAACTTAAAATAATCGAAGGCAAAAAATTATTTTCATTTTTCATCAGTAATGATCCGGAAAAAAAATTCAACTATATGGCCTAAAATTCCTTTCGTCATCTTAAAATACGTAATTTTAAATGACAAATGACAAATTACTTGAATAATTACTTAGATATAAAAATTCTTAAGATCTTATTCATAATTTTTACTTCTCAGAAACTGTTTGACCGATTTCTTACAAATTTTAGACTTTGTTATGAATGTGTATAATGTAATTCACTCAATTTGAAAGAAGTAAGTAGATTATTAAGGGTCCTAAATTCTCAACTGGTATTTCGACTAAATTATTTGGCTTCTAACATCTTCCTGTCGGTGTTCCGATAACTTACGGGTCAAAAATGCAAAATAATTTTTAAAAAATGGTATATTTACTTAGAGATAGTGCTTTTTTTGAACTTGGTTTCGAACTTTAACTGGTATCTGCTGCAATTGATAATCTAATTTCAAGTACCGTCATGTGGGGCTACTTTGTGCAAATTCGAATTTGGCACTTTTCAAGCGCTGCTATTCAGCATTATGTTTTTTTTACGTTCAAAATGTATGGAATTTGAAGATAGAAGTCTCCTCTATTACTGTAAACATTTTTTTAGAATTTTAAAACAATCTCAGAGTGTGTTTATCCAATGTCAACAACTTTCCGAGAACGTCGGACGCCGAAAAGTGAGGGTGGAAACTTTAGCTGTGAAATGCAAAGACGTTGATTAAACAATTGTCGTAAGTGCAAAATTTTTTATTTATATATTAATAAACAATTATATCATGTTAGCGTTAAAAAAATTTGAAAATTAATAACAAATAAACGGAAAATGAAAAAAAATGCACTTTGGGGCTACTTTGTGCAAAGTTTCATTCGTTTTTTTTTCGACAGAAAAATTGTCAGACGTTATAAAAAATACCTGGAACAAGAAACTACCGTGATTACTCTTTAGAAAAGCTGCAACAATGTTTGCAAGCAGTTGCTGGTGGTATGTCGATTGCAGAAGCTTCTCGGAAGTACAAAATTCACAGAAATACTATCTCTAATAAAATTCACTAGAAACACGTGAAACGTGCTGGCAAACTATTATTTTTCTTTTACAAAGGCTTTTCTAATGAATTAATCAAACGATTTAACACATAAAAATATATTTTATAGGACATCAGGTGATTTTGACAGAAACTGAAGAGCAAGTTCTGTCATGTTCGTTCAAGCATGCTATGTTCAAATTTATCAATATTATAAATGTTAATGAATATGTAATAATTATTATTTTTGAAATTTCATCCATTTCAATGTTCAAAAATGTATATGGTTTCCTTTTGTTTAAACTCAAGTGTTTTGAAATAAACATTCTTTTTAAGAAAAAAATTCTTTATAAAAAATGGTTTTTTAACGCTGAAAATTATTTTCAAGCTAATATCTTTGCATATCTTGATGTTTTTGTCATTAAAAATGTCAACAATTAACTTTTTTAACAATTTTATATCAATATTTTACTAAAAACAGGATTATTAAACTGAATTCCTATCGCTGCACAAAGTAGCCCCACTTGGGGGCTACTTTCTTATAATTTGTAAATATTAAATACAAATAATGCCAATATTGATCAAATTCACTCGTCTGAGTCCAGTTATGAATATAATATCGATAAATAAATGTCTGAATTACGATTNCCATGTTGGGCCAAATGAATGTTGAATCTACTGCTCTTATAAAGAGGCCGAAATTTCACTTAACGATAAATTCAATTTGAAAACAAAATAGAATGGTAATGTTT